AGGTTGCTATTTTTAAACCAGTGTCCCAGACCATACATAACAAAGTAATTTTCATGATGTTGAGACAAAGTTGAAAAGGTTTGCCTTAACATCTGGGCATCAAATGTTTTTCCTCTCGAGCTGAAGCTTTTGATACTGTTGCTAAAAACCAATTTTCACATGCTAAGACATGTCTCATGGGGCTGAGAAGTGTCTGTTTAACACTTCAAAGACTTCTGCTCCTTCTCTGTGACGGAGATGTTTGTTGTATTTCCAGACAACAAGATTGCACCTGAAAATTTGGACAATAAATCAGCTATTAATTCATTTTGGTAAACATTTCTTCGAGGTATGGGAAAACTTTAAGGCAAAAGTTTTAGACTTTGAGAAATATGCTTTATTGCTGTGAGTAGGATGAGAAGATCAATACCACTCTTTTTTGGTAAATACATGGCTACGGCCAGCAGACAGTTAGCTTAGCTTAGCTTAGCTTAGTCAAGCTTAATTTAGATGCTGGAAGCAGGGTACAAAGGTGACAAAATGCTTGAACCCACATCCCTAAAGCTCACGAATGAACATGTTCTTTGCTTCAGACACCGCCAGGCTAGCTGAGTACACATTTCCAGTCTTTATGCTAAGCTAAGTTAATGGACTACATTATTGTAAGTCGCTATGGATAAAAGTGTCTGCTAAATGACTGTAATGTAATGTAAATGATATTTACTGAACAGATATGAGAATGGTACCAATCTTTTAATCTCACGGCAAGAAGGCAAACAAGCATATTCTCCAATATTAACAGCAATAAGCTATTGCTTCTATGTTTATACACATCTGTTTTCAGTCTTTATGCTAAGCTAAGCTAATCAACTGTGGTCAGTAGCCATATTTTCAGCCAACAGCTATGACAGTGGTATCACTCTTATCATCTAATTCTTGGCAAGAATGTGGATGAGAGTATTTCCTCGAGCATCTAACTATTCTGTTAAGACTCACATCTGTTTTGAAAGCAAAGAAACCAGGAAATATCTTGGTCAGCAGCCTGGTTCGAGATGAGGCCACTACATCAGGAAGTATGAAGCGTGCGCAGTTGACCGATTGCTCCACATGCCCTTCGTCTTGCCCGGAGGCCCTTGTCTGACCTGCCTCCCGGGCCTCATCTCTCACCTCGGCCCTGATTGGCATGGCCACAGGTTTCCTGCTCAAACACAAGAGCCCATCTTCAAAGTAATAGCTTACAGCTGCTGCCTGGATAATCCTCTTCCCCTCTGTCTTTGAAGGGATGCGGTGACATAATAGCCCGGGCTATTCTTCCCTAAATTGTTATGGTGTTTCTTCGGGTGTTGTTTAATAGCAAAAGGGGAGGTGAGACTGTTGCACGTGTTGCTAAATGTAGCATGATTATCGAGCGGCATAAGCAGCTCCATACTCCCCCCTCCCTCCCCACCTCTTCTCTCTCTTATTCTTCTGGGTTTCTTTTATCCCGCCCAGTCCTCCTGATGCTTATCACTGCGGCAGAAGCATTAAATGTAATGTCTGTAGAAGGGAAATCATTGGCAACATGTGGTGAGAGCTTAAGATGTTGTCACACTTTAAGTTGCCTATAATCTGTTCAAAGGGAGAGTGCATAGTTCTCCAAAGTGCCTGGAAAAAGGGGGGAAGAAGAAGAGTAGCGTAGAGGCCGAAGTCTCCCAGCTACACTTGGCTCGGCTGAAGTGTTCATCAGACAAAATAACTGCAAGTCCCTGATGGCTTTTGTCTTCTTCATAATGCTCTTTTTTTTTTTTTGTCTGTGTTTTTCTGCATTTGCTAAAAACACAGCTGGTAGTGTTACAAGCCTCAATAGTGTGATCATCTGTCACGGAGAGGAAGAGAGAACTATAGATAACGTAAGAGAGAACAGACAAGGGATTACAGGTATATGGACACAGGATTAAAAAGAGGGACGTAATGATTCCTCTGGGAGGAAGGTATGTGCTGAGATGGGCTCTTTTTTTAATTTATGAGTCCAGTTCTGGGGAGGCCTTGGGTAAATATTGACACTTCTCTCTGCGGCCATTGATCCACACAGGAGGAGTCTCATCACTTGATCTGTGCGCTCAGGTGTGGGAGGAGGATAAAGCAAGAGCCGGGGACGTGGGTTGTCATGCTGGTGGTCTTCTTTGTGGTGTCTTTTATACACAGACTAGCTTAAAGGAGCTGAGCAGCTTGCCTCTGCGACACTGGGAGTCGTGTTACCCAAGCAGCTGAACGTCCAGAAAGTGGATTTTAGGTGAATACAGGTCTTAGTGTGACAGGTCACTGGGATCAAGTAGAGGCAGAACGTGGTAAATGATCACCTGAATCACTTTAAGTCTGATTCCACTCACACCTACAGCACTTTGATATCTTTAATATCCCAGTAGAGTCTAACAGAGAGCTGTGAAGTCTCCCTTTGCGCTATGGTTATTGTTTTTCTATATATATAAAATTATCATTTACATCGCCTCCTCTTGGCCCACTGGCCTGGTCCTCAAACCACTAATCAGGTAATGTTGGGAAGGTTGAATGGCGTGCCTCCCCCTGGTCAACCTTCACTGCTCACACAGTGGTGTTGTTTTAAAGAGCATTCTTTAGCAGCTGAACTTGGAAAGGTATTAAAGTGGGATTAGGCTCCTCCACAATCCACTGCTTGTGTCATTCAGGGAGTTTGTGTTCTCCTCTCCCCACTGCCACCTCCCCACTCCTCCTCTGTTTGATTGTGGCTAGCCGCAGGAGTGGGACTGACTGTGCCTTTCAAAGGAGAGGGGTAGGGTTAAATCCCTAGTCCACTGCTCCCTGCTAATTCTCCTTGTTCCTTAGAGAAGGATTTACTTCTGCTGCCAGCTTCTCAAAGGCCTTCTCTGCCCATCCGAAAAGTCGCCGTTGCCTTCCTGTGGAGGTGTGGTTGCCATAGAAGGGGCGTCATGCATGGCTATTCCATCTGAACCCCGCTGATAATGGGGACCGGGGACTGAAAACAGGCAGAAAGTCCGGATTAGACCCGGGGACAAAGCAGGACAGGAAGATTCCAGAAGGGACGAATAGGAATTACAGCAGCAAAAATAATGCAAAGTGACAGAGAGGGGAAATAGAAAAATAATGGCTTACAAGATTAGACGCGGCGAGGAGAAAGAAGAAAGGAAAGAGGGCTGAATGAGAATGTTTTCATCTAGATGAGAAGATTTGAGAGAGCGGTCGTAGGTGAATGCGGAGCCCTGGACGTATCAAAACCACGCTAACAAGTCATTTCCTCAACTTTTTGCTCTCTTTCTTAGCCCTAAGCCGGCAATCATTAGCTAAACATTAGAGTTAGAGCTGGGAACTTGTCTTGACAGATTCATCACCTCTTTTCCCTGATCCCAGCATGTAACACACTAATCCCTCTAAAAACTGGACACAAGTCCCTGAATATTCAGTTTATCTCTACACGAGTGTGTCCAAGATTTCCGTTTTTAGTTTCGATTTTTTCCACATTTTTTTTGTGGGTAGTGTTGTTCTTGCCTTTTGTTTTTTAGCGTCTGAACTCGGAGGTTTGTTTAGAAGACAGATTCAGGTTGGCAGGTCACTTAAACTAGAACCCTGCTTGTTTGAGAAACACGCCAACATTTCTTTTTCAAGGGATTATCCTTGAGGTTTTTTCCATAGTTGAATAATAATCTTCTTAACTTATTGTAATAAATGAAAGATTAAAGGACTTTATGAACCCTGTGAGTGCCAGCTTCTGATATCTCTGTTGCTTTGCTGCTGCATGGTGGTTCAAAAAGTGTTTTACCTGTGCCAGATGCAGGTGGTGATCATAATAGAAGGAACTAGTACAATAGTCTATCAACTGATGGGATGTAATTAAGATAACATAAACTCAAATGCTGAGTTTAAGCAATTATTTTAGAAAGCTGCATAGACAACAACAAAAACAACACTATCGTGTTTCCAGCGTGCATACAGCTGCTCACACACATGCACTTACACGTATGAACACATACGCACACACACACACACACACACGGTATCAGTACTCAATCAGCACCTATAACAGCATTACCATAACAAAACCATCCTTTGGTTTCCCTCCGCTCATATTTACACATTATATTCATCGCTATCGCTCATCCCTGTCCCGAACCAGCAGATGATGTCAATTGCTCCTCTTGCTGCCTCCCTGCCTTACACAATGAAATAGATGTTCACCACAAATAGATAGGCGGTTGCCAGCTGTCTTCCAGACCAGGGCAAACAAAGAGGCTACTAATAAATCCAGCTTTACGGCTGGACAAGATCAACCACACTCCCTGCCTTCTTGCTCCATTTAATGTGGCTTCTACTGAACAACAGAGAACAAATTAAATGCCTCTCAGTCACCAATAAAACAATGCAAACATGTCCTGAAAGGATATAAAAGAAGACGGAGGTGCTGTCGAGGGAATGGTGATAGAGGCAGTGTTGCGCCATGGAGGCACAATATTAGACAGTAAGATTAAATATGAACAGACTCAAGGGCAGCCCGGTAGTCAGCAATGAATCATGGTCTCTGATATGGTATCTGATGCATATAGAGTGTCGTGGATATGAGAGAAACGTGTAGATTGTCAGCGAAGGCTTGATTGGGATCATCAGGTTTCTGGAATCACTGCACTAGAACATGATCCAGCCTCTCTTTTAGATTTGTGAGGAGGTTTGGGTGCCCATGACTGAGCTCGCTTGGAATTACGCAGAGCCGGGCCCCCACCCTAGAAATTTTAACGGATGAGTTGCTGCCAAAAGGAGTCACCTCCTTGGCTGCCCACAGGATCAGCAAGCCAACTTCATTCTTTACGAGCAACTCAAAAAATGCTTCGGGACTAAATAAATGCACACGTTATATGGCTTATCATTTCTGCTTTGCATTTAAAAGACAAATACTTTGTTATTTATTTTAAAAGTGACATAGTTTTTCTTTAAAACAACGTCATTTTCTGCATCATCAGCACACCCACAATTATCCTTTCTCTCTTGTTCTACAGGTTGTTTGCCACCAAGTGCAGCGGCTGCATGGAAAAAATCGCCCCTACAGAGTTTGTGATGCGCGCCCTGGAGTGCGTCTACCACCTGAACTGCTTCTGCTGCTGCGTGTGCGACCGGCAGCTGAGGAAGGGCGACGAGTTTGTCCTGAAGGAGGGGCAGCTGCTGTGCAAGATCGACTATGAGAGGGAGAAGGACTTACTCAGCTCGGTTAGCCCGGATGACTCAGACTCAGGTGAGCCCTCTGCACCCTCTCACGCGAGAGTGAGAACAACACGGTGGTGTTATCATCATATGGCACCGAGGTGTTGTATTCTGTATGCTGTGTTCCATCACAGTGGTAGCCAACATAGACATCCACCATAATGGATCCAAACCGAATCTAACTGGTTTTAGTTCATAATATTAAAAGGGAAAAAACAATATTAAGTTGTCCTTAAACTAGTTGCCACATCACTTGCTGAACATCTGAGATTATTCGGAGATCTTGCATGTGCAGCTCCCAGGCAGTAAAAAACTTCTAAAACATGCAGCTTTTCAATGGCTGATTTTGTATCATTCTAATTCAAGCGAGGAGCGTAGTTTTATGATACAGTAGGAAGTGGAAACAGGACGAGGCCAAGCCACCCTGTATTAATGGCTCTCCATGCGTGGGCAGGATCTGGTGCTGGAAAGAATTAAATCACTGTATCACGGTGAGCGACAGAGGGATTTGGGGCCTTTCTGCAGAAAGCCTGCGCCTCCGCTCTTATCAGCTCTAGTGTTCCTCGCCTATAGCCTCCACACACAATGAGGCATCTTGCCAAGCCTCACTGTTCACTACCATCTGGCTCACATTTAAACATGCACAAAAGAGGGGAATTTGTCAAATACATCTGTGCCTGTGTCAACTTTTGTCAACTTGTGGGAATATTTGCTCTGCGTCCTCCTCGTTCGGTTGCGTCGCACAGGCATGTCCTTTGTGCACGTCTCCGGAGGTTAACCTCGGCTTGTGGCGGACAAAATGTAGGTTTTCAGTAGAGAAATGTAGACACTTATCAGAACCAGACAACAGGAGACACTCAGCCATCATGTGCTCGTTTCCTTACAGCCTCTAGACCCCAAAATCATTAGGATTCATGAACAAAGCTGCTGCTTTAGATCAGGAAACACTTATTTTCAGCCCAACATAGACGAATAATTTATTTTTTCATTTTAAATAATTCATTTCCATGTTATGTTTACATATCGCTGTGGCCTTTGTGGCAAGTAAAACTAAGATGCAGAATTAAGTAACACATTTTCCATTATATGTCATGCCACAAACAGTTTAATCAGAAGCAAAAATGATAATGACTTTGCCCTTAATCGAGGATAAACTTTGACGATACAGTGTGTGTCACAAGTTTTCGAGTTTCACATTGTTTTCATGCTCTTTTCATTTAATCATTGCATTAAAATTTAGGATTACTCCTAAAGAAATAAATTGTTCTGGGAGAATAATGAATATATAATTATTATATATAACAGCTGCAAACAGCAAGCAGACTTGGTTGTTAAAAAAATAAACTAACAGGCATTTTCTTAATATGAGCAATCTAATAACACAGAGTTATTACATTTTAAGGGTACGTTGTAGGAAAGAAGCATAAAAATGACACAGACTTTACAACCCAAAAACTGTAATATCCTGCTGCTGACAGTAAAAATCTATCCATATCAAAATTGTCATTATTTTAAGGTCTGAAATTGAGCAAAAAAATGGATTTTCCTGCTGTGTTGCGGGAGATGCATTTCTCCCATGTACTCATGTTGGGTTTTTCATGTTGCACTTGATGTAGTGTCCTTATCAGAGATTGATTTAGTGTAAATCAGACAAAGCTGAGCGCAATAAATTACATGTGACGCAGTGTCCAGTTCAATGACAAATGTGCATATTTAACTGCGTTCTCCAAGAGCAAGAGCCGCAGACTTCTGTAAGTCTAATCGTACATGTGGCCTTTTCCTTTTGTAATAAATTGATAACAAAGTATCAAAAACACATGTCTCCTTTGATTATGCACTTGTGGTGTGTGAATCTCCCGGAATAGGGAAGAACGAAATATATTTATCAGCAGACTGTCACCGACTAAAGGGTGTAGTTAGTTCAAGCTTGTGCTGATGACACAGAAAAATTGCTCTTTCTGCAGAGAAAAGCGACGATGAGGAGTTGGATATCAAGCCGGAGAAAGGCATAGGAGGCCAGGGGAAGGGGGATGATGGGAAGGATCCCAGGAGGCCCAAAAGACCACGAACCATCCTGACCACTCAACAGAGACGGGCCTTCAAGGCCTCCTTTGAGGTGTCCTCAAAACCCTGCAGAAAGGTAAGACAAAGCTTAAATAATCTGTGAGCAAAGTTTTTTATTTATTCCCTGGTCTGTATTTGGGGTAATGGAGGTTAAGATGCCGACCACGAGCCCTACAGCAGTTTCACAAATAAAATTCTCAAATTAAAAAAAGTCTCCCCCACCTCAGAGCTCCGCTTTGAAGTGGCAAGCAGCATTCTGTTCTGTGTTAACTGAGGCCGGCTGGTGTAACGCAGACAGCCTGCACCAAATGTCATACTGAGATAGGAGAACTGCTTCCATAGCCTGGGCCCTAAAACAGGCGCTGCACCTGGTCCAAAGCTTTGAAGAGGCAATAACCAAGAGGTCCAAAAAGACCACTGTATTCATTCAACATTTCAATGAAATCAAAGCAAATCAAAGACGCGATGTGCCTATCGGGAAATGTGGAAGATATGTTAAGGAGGCAAAGTAGTTCAGTGTGCTGTGTAAGTGTTTTGTTTTCTCGTGGGATGCTGGAAATCTTTTGTCTTGATGCTTTTAGGTGAGGGAGACGCTGGCTGCAGAGACGGGACTCAGTGTTCGGGTGGTGCAGGTGTGGTTTCAGAACCAGAGAGCTAAGGTGAGAGCAGCTAACACAGGATAAATTGGATTTTGCGTCCGCATACAACAGACTTGTTCCGTCTTAGAGTCCAGCTAATAAATCACCACAACTATGCGTGTTAAACTTATCACTGCATTCCTTTCTCAAATGTTTAAAAAAAAAAAAAAAGCACAAGGAGTTGCAAATCTCGCTCACTCTTGCATTAAATGTCTACGCCCTCCTCTTTTCTGATTATTATCTTGTGAAAACCTTTGATACTTGACAATGAAGTGCACTCAGATACAGATTCTGTGCAGTTCATTTGAGGGTGAACAGCGAGGAGCATCCTTTTTAAATTAAAGAGCACATGTTAGTTTTGGGGGTTCCTCACAACTCTGACTCCTCCGTTTCAGATGAAGAAGTTGGCAAGAAGACAGCAGCAACAACAAGAACAACAGAATTCTCAGAGACTTGGCCAAGGTACGAGACAGTGCTTACCCTGCACACACGATGGAAGATCATTGTCTCAAAGCTCTGTCTCTGGGAAACTATTTACTATCTATGTATTCACATTTTTCTCTTTCACCTTTTCCATCTTTTAAAGCCCCATTTCACTCACTTAGTTTGCTTATTGTTATTTCATTTTGTTGCATGAGCTTCACCGTGCAGAGTTTGACACTAGAAGGGCAGAAAGTTTATCCGTGCTTACTTCAAATCTGAGTTCAACGCTTGTACGTACGAGGAAAATAACATCACAACAACTGGAAGAAAATCATGGTGCAGCATGCAACTTACACAGTGCAGAAGAAGGAGTAGATGTTATTTCAATACATTTTACCTGAAACTGTTTTCAGACACAAATTATTATTTCAAGCAGAGATTTTGTATGTGTCATAAAATATGTCAGAAGGGAGTCTTTAAGTGTTTTGTATCCCAGCAATATATTGTTTTAAATGTTGACATCCAGCTAGTTAGAAGCCGTACATGAGGGCTTCTTTTGTTGTCTGCGAAACAGCAATACCATTGAAAACACAGAATCAGAAAATATGAGCTACATTCTGTCAAATGTGTTGTGAGAAAAGAGTTCACACATTTAATAATTGCACTCAATATCAGATTACACATATGTCAAAGTGTAAACAAGAACACGAAACATCAAAAGCAAGTTAGAAAATCTGTCTGGAAGCCAAAAGAAAAGAATGGTCGACGTCATTCTGTAAAGCCACTGCAAAGGAAAGTGTTGGGGGGGATGGGTTCCAGGGATGAAGCCACAAGAGTTTTGTGTCTTTCTCACAAGTCAGTTAGCCAGGAGCAGTGTGTTTGTGAAGGGAATTGTGGGAGAAGCCACAGGAAAGACTACTGTTGGTTTCCATGGAAATACTAACAGAGGCAGCTAAGCAATCCAGGTATTTGGAGGGTTTTGAGTCCGTCTTACAAGAACCAGAACTCAGACATTTAACCTTATCAAGTTTTTGCTCTGGCAGGAGTGCAGCACAAAAAAAATTTCAGATTTAGGTGAGTTTGAAGATCTAAAATTGCCCGTTACAAAACATGTCCTCACTGTTGATGCTCTCATCATCATTGTTTTCCCCCGTTCAGCCACACATTTCTGCATATTGTGCGCTGCTGCATTTACATTTTGCACACTCTTCCCAAGCTTTTTTTATTTATTTATTTTATTTTTTTACATTTCCTGTAATGTTTTTCCCCGTTTGCTGTCTTTGCCTTGCAGAGGTGATGTCCAATCGGATGGAGGGGATGATGAACTCCTTCACACCGCTGGCTCCGCCGCAGCAGCAGCTGGTCGCCATGGATCAGAACGGTTACAGTACAGACCCGTTCCAACAGGGACTCACCCCCCCACAGATGCCCGGGGACCACATGAACCCATATGGTGAGCATCCACCTACTCCCTCCCCCACCCCCTCCCCTCACCCCGCTACCCCCCAAAAAAAACCACACACCCACTCCTGCTCTAAAAACACACACATGCCTGTCCCTTGATCAACCTCATAGCTCCCTAGTGTGGGACATGTGTTCAGGCCACAGCTCCCCTGATTTAAGCCGCTCACAGAGACGTACGAGCAGCTTCTCCTCCCACATGAGATAACACACGCACGCTCATAAGCTATTGGGTTTTCAAGTTTATTTTCAAATCTGTTTAATATGGTTTTAACTCTCCGCCTCCACTTCTGAGACATGCCCCGTTACTGATGATGTTTTCCAATGGTGGTAAAAACATGTGGTCAGTGTGGACAGCTTGAGATAAAGTGCAATCCAGACAATGATTGAGGGTTGTGTGAGCTAATGAATCAATATGGGAAAACAACAAGTCTCTGATTTCTGTGTGATGTAGGAAAGAATTAAAATGCAAAGGAGGGGGGAATGAGTCAATCAACTGTTAGTCCACAGGATGTAACTGGAATAACACATTTCTGAGTGATGTCCTCAACAAGCCCCAGAGGGACCATTTCCTGAAGTTCATAACTTCCTTATAATTTGCCTCCATTTAGTTCATCTCGGTAGTAAGAACCCAAATCCCCAGTCTCATCACTCCTTTGGTTTGGGGAAAAGAACAATATTGGCAAGGCATTAAAAGATATGTCTCAAAACACTGTCCCCATTTTGTGCAACACTATCATTAAGATCCAGAGTGTAATAAAGTTAACTATTCCCTCCGGAGAAATAACATGTTGAGGTTTTATGAAAGGCGGAAGCGGTTGCTATTAACCAGATCTTTTAGGAGGATGCCCCTTGTTTACATGCTCCCTCATAGACCGCAATCGTCCCAGCGAGGGCAGCAAAAAGTGAGCTTTGATATCGAACAAAACAGCTCTCCCAATTGTGATGACACACAACAGCCATTTCTCAAAGTGACTATTAGTAATTATAATTTCCCAACGCTGCTATAAATCTCAAATACAAGATTGCATTGATTTTACAGTCAGAGTGGGGTGTTGTTGGGTATCTTTTGAATGACGCAACCGAATCCTGATGGCTGTCTCCGTATCCTTCACAGGTAATGATTCTGCATTCCATGACATAGACAGCGACACGTCTTTAACCAGCCTCAGCGACTGCTTCATGGCATCGTCGGATGTCAACTCCATGCAGGCCCGCGTGGGGAACCCCATCGACCGCCTCTACTCCATGCAGAACTCTTACTTTGCATCATGAAAGAGAAGAGTGAAGCCAATCTTCAAAGAATAAACTGCCCATCTCAACCTGAAAGAGCGATGGCCGGGAGTTTCCACACCAACACGGACACTACAGAAGAAACCTTGCAGTAACTCCTGGTTATGTGCTGAAGCTTACTCAAAGATAAAACCACTTGATGTAGGACAGTGACGATTCCTGGGGAAAAGACTTAAATATTGTTAGAGATTATTCAGTAGGATTGCTTATCTGTCACAGGAGATATTCGTCTTTTCTTTGGTCACGTAAAGAAAACAAGTAGATACTGAAGCCACTGATTACACTCTCTCAAGCCAAATGACACAGTGAATTTATACAGTGCATGATCAATTGTAAACTAAAACTTTTGGTAAGCCCCGCCCCTTGGTTAAGATGTGGTGCTTGGACTGTTTCTTCTTTACACTACATGGATTTCCATGTTCACCGTTAGCATTTTGATCACTTTCAATAGGTTTAGATATTGTGTTAATAGTAAATAGGTGCAGCATGTCTGCAAGAGTGGCTGTACATTTGTGTGTGTATGAGAGTTTGTGGTGAGAAAGGATTGTTTAGAGGAGAGAAAAAAAGGAGGATTTGTTGGACAAGTAGGATCAGTGAAGTGTAAATACTTTCCCCAGGCAAATTGGATGTGCATGTTACAAAATGGAAAGCATTCTATTTATTTAACTATAACAGGCTCTTGAAGGTGCATATTAAACATGAAAAGCTTTATTTAAAAAAAGGAGAGCATTTTTTTTCGTTGAGCAATTAGTGAGTTCTTGAGTATCTCAACTCATCTGTATGCCTTTTTAATATGAAGATTAACCCTTTTGTTTCGTTTCTTCTTCAGCCAAGCTGTAAATGAGCAATGTTGCTATTTATTTCGTACAGACCATAAACCTTTTGTTGTCATTGTCATATGTGCATTCTCAAAATGTTAAAGTTGCTAAATGACCAAAGTTGACTGGTTTGATGAATAAACAATGTCTTTCTCCTGATAACATTAAATAAATGCCATTCAGTGATCATTCTAATGGTAACATGTTGAAGTCCCAAATATCACCTGTTTAAATGTATTCTCAACTAATTACACCAGGATGTTTTACTGTGGCTCTTAACAGTATCGGCCTGTTGGTCAGTATGCTTTAAAGGGCCAGTGTGTAGGATTAGGTGGCTTTTAGCAGTTAGTTTGCAGATTGCATCCGACTGAATACTACCCCTCTGCTCACCCCTCCCTTTCCAAGTATGCCGGAGAACTACGGTGACCTTCAGTAAACGTGAAAGACTCTCTAGAGCCAGGGTGTATCTGTTTTGGGCCACTGCAGAAACTCCGTGTAGAGGTCCCACTCCCTGTGTAGATATGATCTGCTTATTCTAAGAAAGTGCAACAATTCTTATTTTGACATGATAGTACACTAATGAAAACAGAGTCATGAATATTATATTAATGAATCTCCCTAAATCCTACACATTATTCCCTCCATTATTGGATGGATTGCCACAAAATGTGGTACAGACATTCATGGTGGAGGATGAACCCTAATGATCCCCTGACCTTTCATGTAACACAAATATTTGAGTGTGACAAACGACGGGGAAACTCACGACTATCCCATCAAGTGTACCATGTGTTTAGTGGCACTGTAATTAGCAAATGTCAGCACGCTAACACTAAAGTCAGATGGTGAACATTGTTGGCAACATATTTAGCATGTTAGCATTGCCATTCCAAAGTAATGCCCGAACAGCGGTTGACCTGATATTCATTTGAAGCTTGTAACCATTCCAATACATAACTTGAGTACACCTTGGCAGAAACATGTACATGTAGTGAGGGTGAGGTCGGAGAGAAGTGCAGGTGACATACAAATACAGCTGCACGACTAGAGTACAAACCCCACCTATAACCTCAGGGCTTGCGGGGCGGCTTCTTGGAAGCGCCATCTGGGTGCTTCTTCATTTCTCTGACAGCTCCTCAATGTGGCCAGGCAAGCTTCCACGCACTGTCTGCGCAGTCACATGACCATACAGATAAACTGCATTTATTAGGTTACTATGACTCAATATATTCCTAATGTCATACTCATGACAGGGTTTAATAATCTCGGCTGCTATGCCTGAGCAGACGTAGCGCATGAAATTGTCAAATTGTGAGGGTTTAGAGCAGTGTGTTTTATATACACATATATATGTATATATAAATACTATCAAGTCTTCAATCTGACAGCCAGGTGTTGGACGTGTTGGCAAGGTTACACTGCCATTTATCTTCACTTGTCACACCAGTAAGCGAGCATAGCCGGGAGCACTGCTCAGTGACATTTTATTGTGGAACCTGATTGGATGACATCTTTTTTATGAGTTTGTTGATTTTTCCTCGTTACCTGGCTGAGGCTGCTTTGTATGAGATGTGGAGAAAAGCATGTGGAAGAGGAAACAGTCAGTCTGTCGGTCTGTGTTTGTGTGTGCATTCGTGCATACGTGTGTAACCATAAGCAGGACTTTTGAGTTTACGTCAGGTTTGTAGTATATATATATATATGGGGATTAAAGCATGAAAGACTGAGTAAACAGATGAAACAAAGGCTCCCATATACAGTAAACATGGAAGGGGTTGCTACGCACACATTGTGTTTGCACGGGATAGAGGGTACAATTGGTTTGAACCTCTCCCTTTTCGGGCAGGCCAGGTGAGCTTACAGCGAGGTGTTTAGGTGTAGATGAGGACAGAAGGCTCTGCTGCTGACATTGTAGTGGAAATGTGAGAGTAAACCCTCAACAACCATACATTTCCCCACATGATGTTTTTTCTAAAATATCTTTGTTCTTATTTCTGTTCAAACTTATACGGTCCTGTAATTAATGGAGTTATAGAAAAATGTATTATTTTCACAATAATATAGGTAAATACAAGACTGCAGTCACTCACTTCTGACATACAATGAAAATGTCCAGGATAAAAACACAACAAAACGTATTGCCATTGAGGCCGACATAAGAAAGAGGAAGAAGGTACGATGGCTGATCATCAGGTCAAGAAACCCAAACAAACAGTCAAAACTGATTTTATGACTCTATTAACCATTTCTTTACCAATAATTAATCAGACCTCTACTCTGGGTAAACAGTATTAGCTGGAGTAGTAAAAACAAAAATACATTTTACCCGGGATGCATTTTATTCACCATTTATACCTCAGTTCAAGCCTCCAATTTGCCTAAGAGTAAAATATGAGTGAATATAACCAACGTCACTGCTTGTTCGCTGGCACTTGGGCGTGAATCGGCCAAAGACGACAATTAGAGGTTGAGGTAAGTGTGGCCTCAATATGAAAACAGTCATGCTGAAATTCGAGCTAAAGACACACACACACAAACTCACGGAGAGTTAAGAGTCGGCCTTCAGTAAACTGTTCACACATTTACTCTTCTGCCGCTCTGGCACCTCATAGGAAATGAGCCTAGTGACAATATTTTCATTAGATAACCGAAATCCTGAAATTTTCCACCTGAGACACAATTGGACGCTTGTGATTCATATTTTCTCTTAACTGTTAGCTTCTCCTGCCCTGCCCATGAAAAACATACGGAACTGGATTTGTTATTCGGGGTAATTCTCACCAGCCGCCCCATAAAAGCACAGCATGATCTAAAACAGTAGCAGAAGAGTAAGCAACAAGGCCGCATGTCCCACCATTGCTTCATCACACTAAATCAGTCAGGGAGTGACTCATTCAAACCATGCAACACTTTTGAAATGCCTATTGCTTTACATTTACTGTACTTATAATTGGCATTCCAAACTGTCGTTTCTCAACATCACATTTATAACAGACCGATATTACAGTTTTTTTTAAGCAAACCAAGCCCAATTAATAGTTGCTTTGCAGGACCAAAGACACTCAGACGTTTGTGGGTTCAGTACAGTCTAGATTTCTTCTCATGATTTCACAGAGTTCACAGGAGTTCACAGCGAGTCCCCAGTGGGAACAGGGGGGCTTTTGGGGTGTTTTCATTGGGCATTTTCCATGGCTAGTGGTTAATTGTTAAGGGAGATTTTTAACCAACGTCTGACACATATTCTTTGAGCCTTGAGGGCTTGTGCATAATCAAATGACAGGCTAAGCTGTGGTTTCGACCATAGAGAGGAGTCACAGCCAAACAACCAAGCATGTCCTCACAGCAGATTCTTGCTTTATTGTGTCAGTCAGCGGCACCAAACACTGCCGGTATGAGGCATTGTTTGCATGCTACAGGTCCAACATAGATGTAGTAACAGTAGTTTACTGTTACATTATTGATCCCACAGTAGGAAACTATTTAACCGAAATACTACAAGTGATTCAATACAGACATTTGGACACAGGAGAGTGCAATGGCAATACATTACATTGCAGTCATTTAGCAGATGCTTTTATCCAAAGCGACTTACAATTCAGATTCTATCACACCGTAGGCACAGCTATGGGAGCAATTTTTTGGGGTTAAGTGTCTTGCTCAAGGACACATCGACATGCGATTAGCAGAGCCGGAGCCGGGGCTCGAACCTCCGATTCTCTGATTGAAGGACGGCCCTGCTCTCCACTTACCCACAAAAACATGTAAATAATAACATTACAAGAAAGCCACAATTCAAAGGTTCAGGTGCAGACCATTACATTTACTCCTCATGTCCAAGAACAAACGAACATTTGAACCTCTGGACATTTCTACCTCCTACTTCTGTTCCTGTGCTGAGAAAAAGATGGTGTGGGATTCACCTCTCAGCGCCCAGGGGTGCAGATAGAGCCCTGGATAGGGCTCAGTAATCCCCACCACTATTGGAGCCCATCTGTTTTGGTTTTAATTTTTCTGCATTATTAGTGCTTATTGGTACATGGACTAGGAATGTATCCAGGGTGTTTGAAGTCAAGGAGGAAGGTGATGCCAGGGGCATTAGTTGAAGGAATGATGACCTTAAGGTCTAACACAAGCCAGCACTCCTAACCTCCAGGAGCCTCTCCCTTGAAGTTGGAATCCAAGTCCTGCACTCTTGTCTGCCTAAGATGCCGTGGAGTTTGCAATTTGCCAATTCATCTGGCAATTGAGTAATTTCGTAGTCATGAAGGTTTCTGGTATGATGATGTATAAAAAAACTCTGACAATACGAGTCTCATAATCAAGTCAGTGAGGAAAAAAATACCACAAGTGTCATTTGAGGTCTTTCCTAGAAAACTAGTTTGCTATTCTATGTAAACTATAACAACTTTTATGTTTCCAGTTCATTATCTGCTACAACTGATCTGTGACCTCAGACAAAGTGTATTACAGCAAGAGGAATAGATAAAAGATGCTCTGTTAGGCTGCACCTCGGCACAGTGGTACTTTGAGCTAAACGCTAACATCAGCATGCTAGCATGCGCACAATGGCAATGCTATTCACCATGTTCACCATGTTAGTTAAGCGTGTTAGCATGCTAACATTTGCTAATTAGCGCTAAACACAAAGCGCAGCTGCGGGCTTATGGGAATGCGATTCGTTTTGCATGGTCCTCAGAACTTTTAATAGCAAAGTGATATTTGGTACTGTAAGGCCCTCAAAGAAATTAAACTTCCAGCAAACATTCTAATTGTCCACGAACCGATTTTTGCTTTTATAATCACTGCATCAGCTCAAGGCTGTGCAGTGGTGTAATGCTGCAGAGCAGAATCATCATGCTGTCCTTTAGCTCTAGAAGAGGAGAGGGTATGCTCCCAAACACATATGATTCAATAAGCACTGAATGACAACATAGATCCATCAAACTCTACTCATATGAAGAGTGATTGGTAATTAGTACTGATATGTTTTGCACTTCTTGACATGGGCAGCCAACAGATACCTTGTTAAGCTTTGTTATAATTATTCCTGCTTAAATTACATTCTGGCAAATAGAAGGCATTGAATAAGCTAACATTTGTTCTTCGGATTGTGTAGCATGGGCGTGCATGTCAAACCGGAGCACAGAATTAAAACTGTCACTGAGGCGGATAAAGGCAGCAATCATATTAACCGCAAGAGTTGGAGGAGAGTGCACAA